TCTACACAGTGAACAAATAATATGGTATGCTTTAGTACAAATGTTTTGCTGTAGCTTTAGATCTATGATTTTTTATAATTAATTCATAACTGCAGTTTATATGATCCAATTGTGGTGAAATTTTTATGGTGGACTAATTGTTGTATGCTTGAACTATATTAAAAATTTCATACTCATTGTATCATGTATAACTTAGTTATATAACTAAGTCATATAGATCCAATGAGTATAAAATTTTTACTATAGTTCAAGCATACAATAATTAACCCACCATAAAATCTATAACTAATATGTTTGTTTTTCATATCACAAGCGTGTTTCGGTTTAATCCCCACAACAAAACATTTTTCTATTAGTATCAACTTCTATCCACATTTGAGTGATGTGAGCGTTCGCCTAATCCGTATGCCCTATCGTTTTCGTTCAGTCAGCAGGAATTTGTATAGTACTACTATAGCATACCAAAGCTACCCGCTGAAAGCTCCGCTCCGATAACATACCTGCCATGTGCTCGGTCTGATGCAGACACGTGGCAGAATTTTCCAAATTAATGTAAGGAATTCTGTAGTTGCTATGTTAACCACCGCAAAGTGTTTGTTAAGGCTTCAGCTTTCCGACACACCAACCCAATCATCAGTACGCTCCATTTCAGCTCAAGAAAACTGCTAGAACTAGAAGAGGCACTGGCCACTGAGGCAGCGTGCCAGCATACGCAACTAGACAGCCGGCATAAATAAAAATCCCCCAGCTGAGTTCGAGCCATCTCCATCTGACCATCACAGTTGGGCGCCATGCAATTCGCAGTGTCACCAGACAACCTCCTCTTCTTCTGCTCCGTCACGGCGTCGGTGGCCGCCGCCTTCGCTCTCGTCTCGCTGTACAGGCACCTGGCGCACCGGCGATCGCAGCAGCCCTCTGCGTACGACGACGTCACGGCAAGCTCAGGCGACTCCGCCGGGTCAGAAAAAGAGCTCCTGCCGCTGAGCGCCGCCGCCGCGGGTCTCCCCCCGTTCATGTACAACCGGCTGGTGAGGCACAGCGGCAAGGGCGCGTGCTGGACCGAGTGCGCGGTCTGCCTCGGCGTCATCCAGGTCGGCTCCATGGTGAAGCTGCTGCCCGCTTGCAGCCATGTTTACCACCGCGACTGCATCGACCTGTGGCTGTCGTCCCGCTCCACGTGCCCGCTCTGCCGGTGCAGGGTTGGTCCCTCCGAGACCGGTGCCGGCCAGGAGACGACGCCCCGGCAGCTTGCTCAACCTTCCCCTGCATAGATAAATCCTCACGCGCCGGCCTGTAACAGATGTTTGTAATAGGCCAGTTTCTCCGTTTACTCAACTGTAGAGATCAAGCTGCACTTGTGCTGCTTAAGATCGATGTTGATGAATACAGAGTGTGTATAATTATGAGCATGTCGACACATCAATTCTTACAACTTTGTTTCCATTGTTGAAAACTGAGCAACATTAATTCAGGAACTTGAATTGCCAGATATAGCACCAAGACAACAGGTTAGTGCACATAATAAGGTTACAGTTAGCAGAAGGATGAAAGCACAAGACCAAGTCAAACCTGAAGAGGCCTGGACCTCTTTACATGCTCATTTAAAATAATACGGGTAAGAGAAGGAGCAGCATATATTGGATTCTTTTCTCTCCCTACAGCCTCCCCAAAACAATGCAGCACCCGCAAGGGAGAACCAGAGAACAAACCACATTCTGCAGCCTGATAGTTTATCGTACTTGCAGAACACAGTTTAAGAAAAACTATAACACATGTGTGGCAGCACAAAACATTACAGGTGAAGATATATGCAAGAGCAGTGACCAGAAGTTGAGTTTCCATGAAAAACTGTTGCTGAAATCTGCACCGGTTGGACCATAGGTTGTCGTTCCTGTGAAGCTACCATTTTTTGGAGATGCACTGCAGTGTCCAAAGTAAAGGGTTAATGGTTTAGCAGAGACTGGGCATATTATTGAAGATGCAATCGAAAAGAAAAGTCAAGTATGCGTGTTTTAATATGGGGAGGTCAGTTTGAACAGCAAAAGGCAGCTCCAATATATTATGCTTTCTCAAGGAAGCAACCCCAATTTCTAAGAACTACAGTATGTAAGTAGTGAGATACTAAACATCTTGAACAACCTGGCACACTATATTTTTGTCATCCAACAAATATGCTTCGGTAGGTTATGGAGCGTTTATAAAAAATTAAAGAATTTAGGACTGACTTTAGATACATGCATACTGTATAGAAACTAAAGATTTGTTCCAAAACTATGATAAATCATGTTGCACAGAGCACCGGGTTTTGCTTCTGGACTCCAAGCACAACACTCAAAAGGTTGTCACAGAACTGCCATCAATTTTGAGGTCTGGTTTTCCTTTCTATCTTACTATTATAAAGATGGATCTAGTTAGGCAATGATAGTTTGATGAACTAGTATCCTGGTTTATACAACACTGTTAGACCAAAATTTGTCACAATTTCAGAAGCACTGAGTTCCTATCCACCTATTTTTTCCTGGAGACGAGATCTAATAGGTCCTAAATTAGTGGAGTGGAATCATCTATTAGCACGCCTACCAATATCTCGCTGTTACAAGGTCATGATGAATTTTACTGGTCTTTGCATCCGAATGGGCAATTCTCAGTGAAATCGCATTACAAAGCAATGATACAAACCCCAGTTCCTAATCTGAATAAACGGTTATGGAAACTATTAAGCTAAATATTTTTCTGTGACACCTTATGAGGGTAATGTTAACAAAGGAAGCGTAATTGGCATGGGAGCAAAAATTGTTGCTTTTGTCACGAAGAGGAGACGATTCAGCACTTGTTTTTTGACTGTCATTCCACGCGCTTCATTTGGAGTTTTTCTCAAGTGGCCTTTAATCTAACAAAACCCCAAAGTGTAGTACATATGTTTGGCAGCGGGCTAAATGGAGTTACAAAACATCTGAGATCTTTAGTTTTGCTTGGGGCAGCAGTGACTTGTTCGTCTATTTGGTTACACAGGAATGATTTTGTTTTTTAAAAGAAAAAATTAATTCTCCTTTGCAGGTTATCTATGCAATCTCCCGCAGGCTCCTTTCGTGGGCTATCCTTCAGAGGCCGGAGTTCCAGGATACAGTTATGGTGGCATCGCGACATTTGGAGCAAATGGCGAAGGATATTTTTACCTGGGCGTATGGGTGGCGATCTAGTCTTAGGATTCAATGTCACTAGAGTATGCTCAGTCTTGTATCTTTAGCTGTGTGCCTATCCTTTAGGCAGAGACTGGAAGTTTTTGTTCCAAAGCCGTGTATCAACTGGATGTACTACTCCTAGGATGCAATAAAATCTTTCGTTTCCAAAAAAAATATCATATATGAGATGAAAAAGATCATATTCATATGATAAAAGTGCACAATTGAAGAAAATGAAGGATACTTGCTGTCAGTAGCAGAAAATAATATGAAAATGCTTTTGTCATCAGCAAACCAGATACTTATAATGAAGATAATTCAGATTTGGATAGTGGCTTGTACACAAGTTCACAAGGGAGGTATTTGAAGAATGATTTCTACACCCAGCACATGGACTTGTTCACAAGAAACGAGAAGTTATTGAAGGGGGATTGGTTACATTAACATGCATGATTGGGCACATTGCACAACAGAAATTAGGGATATCCTTGTCTTGACGAAGACTTTAATATATGTGTGTTTGTTTCAACTCTATGGCTGAATTGTCACTTCAAGATGGAGTGACAATTGATTTGAAAAAAGAGTGGGTAACTATAAAGAGCTTAAGACTATTTGGATCAATGGAACATATTGACTGATGTAAAATCCTATTTGTGTACATCACTCAATCGTTACGTTAAATCATAGCCAAGAGAAGGATACATTTGGTCAATGTAGGTACAGAACTACAGATCCTACTGTATGTGTTATGTTTGGAACTGTGATACAATCACAAACTTTAGCAATTGTGGAGCCGAAGTTACAGGACACTGGAAGGTCAAGGAAGATGTGGTAGGAGCAACCAGGCAGTACCGAGTACCGAGTACTGACTAAAGGTAGGACTTGGGTTTGCATCAGGCTGGCAACAGGTGTTTCAAGTCCTTCAGGTTGTGTCAGCAGAACACCTTGAGATCTGTGTGCCACGGCCGACTCAGCCAGCTGATGTCTAACTTGCCCTTTAAACAGACACGAACATAGCCTGGACGCACATGGTGCTACTTATGGCACAATACAGGAAATATTAAGTTCTTGGATATCGAAGATCCAGGATTCCAGAATATTGTAATGGTGTGTATATATACTCTTGAAGGGCGGGCCTGGTGCAAGCGGTAGAGTCTTACCGCCTGTGACCGGAAGGTCCCGGGTTCGAGTCGCGGTCTCCTCGCATTGCACAGGCGAGGGTAAGGCTTGCCACTGACACCCTTCCCCAGACCCCGCACAGAGCGGGAGCTCTCTGCACTGGGTACGCCCTGTGTATATATACTCTTCTAGAGTAGACAAGAATACCCAAAACGAGGGAAATGGAAAGGACAACACAGAAATGGAGGTTAGGAGCAGTGCACTCACCTGGAAGGAAACATGCAGCTCCCATGACCTGCAAAACAATTCGCCAGGGGCGGATCTACAGTAGTAGCATGGGGGTACAGCTGTCCCCCCAAAATTTCTGAAAAAAAATCAAGTATATATATTCTTTAATATCTTGTATATGTATAATACTCTTTGTAGGCCCAGCTGCAGCCCATTTTCAAACGTACAGCAGCCCATTTCCAAATATATTGACGTATAATAAGCACTTTGCCGATCTGCCGAATACGAAACGACGCGTCACAGCGATACAACTCCTTCCTCAACCCCGCCCGCCGCCGCTGCAAAGATGGAAACCCTCGTCGTCGTCGTTCGGTCGTTGTCTGACGGCCGGCCGGCTGGCTGAGGCGCTGCTTGCCTGCTTCCGATTTCCGACCTTTCCTCCGGCCGTCTGCCCGTCCTACACGCTAAGCCATGCCCAGGAACTGCCAAACTGACAAGTTGCAAAGGGTAAAAATTCAATCTTGTTCTATTGCGATCACTGATCAATCATTTTTTTTACCGGAATATTCCCATCAATAATGAGTTCTAGTTTGCGGAATCCCTCTTCTAATTTGACCGATTATTGCAGACTGCAGAACATCAAGGATCAAGTAGCATGAAGAGGAATAACAATCTTGCATCTCTATGGAATGCTCATGCTCAGAAACAGAAAGCACAAAAGGTGTCTTCTTCCACTCCAAATCAACTAATTATTCATGATCAGCAAGTAGGACCTGAAATTCCTTGTGAGGAAGAAATACATGAGACACAGGAGATGGAAGATCAAGAAGCAAGACCTGAAAATCCTAGTGACGAAGAAATACATGAGGAACAAGAGACAGAAGAGGGAATTTATGATGTTGATCGTCTTCCCCATGATCCTGGAAAGAGGATCCCCATCATCCAATATTCTGCCAATGAGCAAGATGCAGTGAGAAGAGGATATATTGCAAAAGGGCCATGCCAGCCAAGGACATATAATTTTCCACAGCGACAAATTGGTGGTAAGCATCGCTTTCCGGTTAGATGGTTTGACAAGTATGATTGGCTTGAGTACAGTGTGGAAAAGGATGCTGCCTTCTGCTTTGTTTGTTATTTGTTTGCGGATACAGCTAATTATGTTGGTGGTGATGCTTTTGTGAATAGTGGGTTTAGAAAATGGAACCAGCCTGCAAAACTTGACTTGCATGTTGGAAGCATTACAAGCACCCACAATGAAGCTCTTGAGAAATTTACTAATTTCATTAGGCCAAGAGCATCAATAGCAAGTACTTACATTAAGCACACCACAGAAGAAAAAGTTAAATATAAGGCGCGCTTAACCTACTCAATTGGTTGTCTGAGGTTTCTTTTGCGTCAAGGGATGTCTTGTCGGGGACATGATGAAAGTGACACATCTAGCAATATGGGGACATGTTGTTGGGATTTCTTGTAGAAAGCATCACATGCTTAGAGAAGCCCAGGCACAGGAGGTTTTGGAAGCTTTAGAACAAGGTGAAATTGAAACAGGACAAGGTTTAAATCAAGAGATGGGTCTGGGTAGGCCAGGAGATACTCGATGGGGAACTCAATACAAGACTATTTCTCGTATTATTGCTATGTATCCCACACTCCGGAAAGTTCTTGGGAAGATCTCAAAAGATAAATCTCAATCTGAGCGTATAAAAGCTCAAAATTGCTTGACAGTAATTGAGTCATTTGACTTTATATTCATGGCACACTTATTGCTGACCATATTTGGATATACTGATGAGTTATGCAAGGCTTTGCAAAAAAGGGATCAAGACATTATTAATGCTATTGAACTTGTTGAGATGACTAAGTTCCATTTGCAAGTGTTGCGAGAGGACAATGAATGGGAAACCTTTCTGAAGGATGTCACATCTTTTTGTGTTAAACATCGAGTCAAGGTTCCTGATATGGATGGTTTTTATGTGCCTGTGGGGAGACCAAAACGTTACTTTGTGAAAGTAAAGAATCTTCATCGGTTCCATGTTGAAATGTTTCTAAGTGTCATTGATATGCAACTCCAAGAGCTCAATAGCAGGTTTGATAATATATCTTGCTTATTATTTTATTATTGTTCAGCTTTTTTGTTTTTTCCTTTCGTAATAATTTATTTTCTCCTTACTGGGGCAGGTTTGATGAAGTTAATACAGAGCTTCTTGTTTGCATGGCTGCTCTAAATCCAGCTAATTCATTTGCTGCTTTTGATAAAGATAAACTTATGAAACTTGCAAAGTTTTATCCTCAAGATTTTACAAGTACAGATTTGGTCCAACTTTCTTCGCAGCTTAATATGTTTATTGTTGATGTGCGAAACAACACAAGGTTTCAACAAGTGAAGAATCTTAATGAGCTATCTATCAAACTAGTTGAGACAAAGAAGCATGATCGCTTTAAACAGGATTATTTATTGCTGAAATTGGTCCTCATCCTTCCCGTAGCTACTGCAAGTGTTGAGAGGGTCTTTTCAGGAATGAACTATGTGAAGACCAAGCTTCGGAATAAGATGGGTGATCAATACTTAAATGATTGTTTGGTCACATTTATTGAGCGTGACTTTTTTCGACGTGTAAGCAATGAAGATATCATTAAACGCTTTCAAGCCATGGCGGAACGGCGTGTGAAGCTTTAGCTGGAAACTTGTATTAGTATATTAGAATTATGGAAAGTTGAAAACATGTAACTTATCACAACTATTTTATCATCGTTTAGTGATCTAATTATGTCGTGTCCATGTTCGTTGACTATCGTTTTCGTCCGTACCCCCATGATTGAAATCCTAGATCCGCCACTGCAATTCGCAGCACCGACGCAACAAGATTACATATTCCGTAGGAACAATCCAACCAAAAAAAAACCGAGAAACAAAAGAAAAGTTCAAACCCGAAGAATGCTGCTGATTCAATCATTCAAAGCGTGGACAAGAGATTCGGGGTTCTTACTGGGGTTGAGCGCGGTGAGTGCAGCGGCGCCGGAGAAGTCGCAGGCGGCGGGGCTCGCGGCGCCGCCGGAGCGGAGGAAGTAGTCGTTGAAGGCGTAGGAGGCGTGCTGCTGGAGGTCGGGCGGATTGAAACAGGCGGCGCCCTGCTGGATGGCCGCGCAGTCGGCGCTACCGCCGTCAACGCTGCACGCCCAATCGATGGCGCTCTGCAGCGCGCCGTCCTCCGCGTTGTTCTTGGCAACGCACCACAGCAGGCCCCCACCACTCACCCCCACCGCCCCTGCCGCGGCGGCGCCGACGAGGAGGAGGAGGCGGAGGGCGAGAAGGGAGGCTGCCAGCATTGGGTGCGCCTGGGCGAACCGGAGGAGGATTCGAATGCTACCGTTGCGGGAGGGGACAGCCGGTGTCACAACTCACAAGTGGGGAAATTCACTACCGCTTTCCCTTCCGCCCCGGCTTTTCAGTTTGCTTTTTCAGGAATGCGCTGTGATGTGTTTTTTTTTTTCAGCTTTCAAGACTGTGATGTTCTTTTTCAATTTTTAAAACTGTGTTGGCAGATTTATATTTTTATATAGTGCACAATTTCTAATTACTGTTATTATATTTAATTTTTGTATAGTGTTGTGATCAAATATATGTTATATGAACTATGTACCGTTGAGCGTATATTTGGAACATGAACTTTTTTCCTATTTTTATATTTTTTTCTATGAAATTGAATTGATTCTTGTTAAATTTTTGCACGATTCCTATCAAATTCCTGTATTCCAAATAAACTCTCAAAATGTACTTAAATTGAATATAGTCATTTTAGAAAATAAATATAGTTTACTGTTTTTTATATTTTATGTCACAATTAAACATGATCAACTAAACTGTATTAATTAATTTTCATATTCATGAAAAAATAATACATATGAATTATAATAATTACACATAGCATATCTCATACTATAGAATTGGCCCCCGAACTTATTCCAAAATATGCTCTGCACCCTTTTTAAGCCGAAAATGGATCTCGAATATTACTATCTTTTTTCTACAACTCTTTCAAATTTAACATAATCTTCATGTGAGAATTCTGGTTCCTCAACAAATAAGTGTATTTGGAGCCTCATTCAAATTACGGTTATTTTCAATGTCTTCTTCCTTTTCATCTTCAACTATCATCCTCATATAGATCTAGGTCCTTTTCACTGTCTTCCTCCTTTTCATCTTCAACTAGCATGTGCATGCCGGACGCCGTCCTGTGGATGTCACTGGAGCTCATACGGACCTAGTGGTAGCCAGAGTGCAGGTCCAGCTTGGTGAAGAAGCGGACACCATTCAGCTCATCCAGTAGTTCGTCGACCACCAATATCAGAAACACGTCCTTGACGATGATGGAGTTGAGTGCTCAGTAGTCGACGCAAAAGCACCACGAGCCGTCGGATTTCTTGACGAGCAGGACCGGAGGGAGGAGCTAGGCCAGATAAGCCCTTGGGCGATCATGGTGTAGCACCGGCGTTCCAGCTCATCCTTGTGCACTGACGGGTAACGGTAGGGGCGAACGACCACCGGCGTGGCTCTTGGAAGCAGGCGAATGTGGTAGTCATGGGAGCACAGTGGTGGAAGCCCCTATGGATAGATCTACAAAGATGTCCTCGAATTTTCCGAGGAGTGCGTTGATGAGGTCACCCCCAACAGAGAGATGCAGGCTTGGGCTCTTGTCACCGGCAACACTCTGTTGATACTAAAAATGTTATAATTTCACATACTCAAACACACCGTCAACAGCCTTAGAATAAAAGGAAGATAAGCATATCATGAGCATATTTTTATGAAATAACTGTTAGGATTGATCTCCCACCAGTTAGGCCCAACGGCCTAACTAGGTCTTGTCCTCGCGCCCTGATCAGGGGCGTCCAACCCTACATGGTTGGTGGGCCCCGTCGACAGTATATAAAGGAAAGGTGGGGGCGGGGCTCATGAATCTGAGAGTTCACCGCGCCGCCTTGATCCCAACCGATATCCTATCCCTAGACTGATCTTGAGAAGTATTTGCCAATGACGGAAGCACCACCGACGCCGGCAACACCACCCGACACGCACGCCGCCACCGAGGACGTCACAGCGCCGACTCCCTCTCCACCGACCGTCGCTGCCGGCGCGCAGATGGCGTCCATCAACGAAACCCCGGCCGGAGCTTCGACAACTACGGCATTTGATGGTTTGCAACCTATCACCCCTTCCTCTCTGTCTCTCTGTGATCCCGAACATCTATTACTACTATGCTAAGTATCCCAATCTGATGAATACACTCAAATTGAAATCTAACAATGGTATCAGAGCCGAGGTTCGACAAGAAATCAGATCGGGGAAGTAGATCCGACCGATCTGATGCGGATCGGGGAAAGAAAATAGAAAATCGAATCCTAACCCTAATCCCAGTTTTTCCATTAGGATGAACGAAAAGAAAGAAATAAAAAGCAAAGAAAACGAATCGGCAAGAACAAACCCTAACCCAAATCGGCAAGAACAAACCCTAAACCTAACCCTAGTTTTTTTCCCCATTCGGATAAACCCAAAAAGAACAACTCAAAAGAAAGAAAGGGGAAAGTAGGGCTATGGTTAGGGTGCGTCGGATGAACTTTCACCGGCGCGGGAGAAGAAGTCGAGCCAGGGGCGCTGGCTCGCCGGGTTCTCTGTTGAGAGAAGCGCCTTGGCAAGCGCCGCTTCGGCAATGGCGTGCTCACCCGTTAGAGGAGCGCGCGCGCCAAGGGGCGGCATGACAACTGCCGAGGGCTCGCTCCACGCTTCGCTTCGCTCTCGGTTCTTGGTTGCATACTTCTTGTTGAAGAGAGAAGAGAGAGTGCGGTGAAGAAGAAGAGAGAGAGAGAGAGAGCAGCGAGCGAATGGCTCTAGGGTTCGGGAGGACATGGCCAGACGCCGTTTTTGTTCGACTGAAGACGGCGCGCGACCGTCCGATCAGAACCAACGGCCACGGATGCTTGGGCCGTCGCTTGCCCAAAGGGATGTGCCACATGACACACTTGCCAGGCCAGCCTGAGTTGCGGCACTGGTGCGACTCTCTGTATAAGGAGGATCTGGGCGAATTGGTTTTTGTCGTCTTGGGCCGCGCTAGGCTGAAATGAAAGAATGAAATTTTGTTATTATTTTCCAGGAGTAATTTCAATGCTATTTTGATGAATTTGAATGATTTTGATACAATTTTTCTGTGCAAATTTTATCCAACAATATTTTGCTCAGAAAACAATGAATTTTTTAGTGGTTCTGGAAAATAATAATATGAAAAGATTATTAATGTTTCCGCTGTACATGATAATTATTGTTCTCTTTGATTAAATTTGAACCAACGGGATAATTTAATTTTTGAGATAAATGAATTTCTGATAATTTTGACGCAATTATGATATTGTTATTTTCTGACCAACGTTGTTAATAACAATATTATAATTTTTTGATCCATGAGAAATTGTGCATTAATTTTACTTCTGCCCAACGGTGATGTAAAATGTTTGCATGGATGAATTATAAGTTTTAATTTGACCAACGTTGAGTTAAAGCATGGAATTTTATGTATAAATGTTTCTTACTTACTCTGGTGTGATTTCAGGAGGCAAATGCATTGTGAACATTGCCAACATCTCGACACTCAACGGAACCAATTACCGTGTGTGGCGGGAGAAGTATGAATTGGATCTTGCGTTGGGAGAGGTCGATTTTGCCATCACCTCACCGTGTCCTACTGAGCCAGAGGACCTGGTGAGAGGTGACAATGAAACTGACGCTGATTTCGCTGCTCGAAAGCGTGATCATGCTGAAATAAGAATGAAATATGACCTTGAACATAGGCAATGGACTCTCTCCAACCGCAAGTGCCTATTGGTAGCCAAAGCCACCATAGAAGAACAGATAAGGGGCTCAATCCCTGAATGTGGTACTGCCAAAGAATATCTTGAGAAAATCAAGAGTCAGTTTACTGGGTCTATCAAGGCCACAACAAGTTTACTGATTAAGAAGCTTATGAATGAGAAATTCACTGGTGGTAGCATAAGAGAGCACATTTTGAAGATGAACACTACGGCATCTAAGCTAAAAGAAATGAATTTGAAGGAGGAGGATTTTCTGATTCATTTGATTTTTGCTTCTTTGCCAAAAGAATATGACACCTTCATTGTGAACTATAATATACAGCCTGAAAGATGGGGCATAGAAAGACTCATCTCAATGTGTGCTCAAGAAGAGGAGAGGATAAAGTCTTCACAAGGTGAATCTGCTCATTTTGTGAAGGACAACAAAAGAAAGAACTTTAATGGCAAGAATTCTAAATCACAAGGGAAACCTAAGTGGGATAAGACCTCTTCCTCCAGTTCACAGGGAAAGAAACCTCAGGATTCTGAGAATCAGCAGTATGGTGGAGCTGAAAAAGATCAGTGCAAGCACTGCTTCAAGAAGGGACACTACAAGAGAGATTGTCTAGACTTCCTGAAATCTCTGCTAAAGAAAGGTGATGAATTTATTACATTTGTAGATGAATCCCTGTATTTATGTTATGACAAATCCACTTGGTGGGTTGATTCAGGAGCAACTACTCATGTTGCAAATTCTTTACAGGGGTTAAGTGGGACGAGAACCTTGCAAAGAGGAGAAAGAACGATTAAAGTTGCGAATGGAGTGCAAGCCAATGTTGAAGCCATTGGAGATTTTTCTTTATAATTGAATAATGGTTTTGTACTTAGACTTAAAGAAGTATTTTATGTTCTCTCTTTGCATAGAAATTTGATAAGTGTTTCGAAACTTGATGATGATGGAATTGATTGTCATTTTGGTGATGGCAAGTGTAAGATATTGGTTAATAATAAATGTGTTGGTCTTGCCTTCTGACAAGACAAGCTTTATTTATTATCTCTTACTGAGAATGCGAACAATGTATGTGATGAGAATGTGAATGATTCCCCATCTATGGATGTAACTAAGAAGCGGAAGAGAATTGATACTGTCTCTTCGAAATTATGGCATTGTCGCTTGGGCCATATTTCGAGGGGGAGAATGGAACGATTGGTTAAGGAATCAATTCTCCCGCACTTAGAATTTTCAGATTTAGAACAATGTATTGATTGCATCAAAGGAAAATATGTCAAGAAAATTAAGAAAGATGCCAAACGAAGCACAGGAATTTTAGAAATAATCCACACAGACATATGTGGTCCTTTTCCTGTGAAAAGTGTGGATGGTTATGACTCGTTTATAACATTCACAAACGACTACTCTCGTTATGACAATATTTATCCAATTAAAGAAAGATCGAAAGCATTGGATAAATTCAAAATATTTAAAG